AAAAGATTGGAGGAAACAAAGTGGATACTACAAAGGCAAGTTTAGGAAGTGCCTTTGATCTTGGCACCCCTTTCCCATTAAGTTTCATTACTGATATGCAGGTTTAAAGACAAAGATGGTCCTGATCTCTTATTAGCCAGCAACAGTACTGATGTCTTTGAGCATATTTTCTGATCCTTTGCCTGATTTCCAGATTTGTTTGTGATCTTAATGTTCTAAGTATTCATTTCCTTATCTCTTTATTCTAAAACATTTTAAGATCTATCTAGTACGGTGAAAAGTACCCACAAAGCAATATTTATTGAATAAGTAAACAGATGGATAAATGTGCTCTTTCTAATGAATTGTACATTCTGAGTCTAAATTCTGCTAGAACTTAGTGCATTTTTGGACACTGATTTTACTCACTAAGACATTCTCACTAGAGTGAGGCTTGTCTGCAACATTAGATTTTACTCTTCCATTAACTATTCTAGATTTCCTGTTCTTACTCAGTCCCTGCTGTCTTTTCAGTTCTGCTTTGAGATACCAAGGTTCCTTGCATTTAAGAAAGCCAAATTCTACAATTTTTGATAGATGTTATATAAGTGTACTTTACTAGTTTATAATGTATTTACATTTTTATAAGTAGAGAAGGAAATGTCAACACACTCTAGTACTCTTGCCGGGAAAATCCCATGGACAGAGAAACCTGGTGGGCTACAGTCCATGGGGTCACAAAGAGTTGGATACAAGTGAGTATGCACACATACACACTTCTATAAGAAATCATTGTAAAACAGTTTTGATCTGTGTACCTATTCATTTATCTATAAAACAGCATTTACACTACCTGCTATTCCTAATGATTTGTTTGCCTATGGTTATACACTAAGAAACATTCCTTACATTATATGTGCATAATAATTCTACCAGGGCAGCATTATGTGTCCTGATTTATTGATGATTTACATGTGAAATCATCAATATAGAATATATGTCATAAAAAGTGCAAAAATGTTATCAACCTGTCACATGGTATGAGCTTGGATAAGAATAATGATGGTGCTGTGTGCTTCTGCATTACCTAAGATATTCATCCTTATTGTACTCCTATAACTTAAAATAACTATGCTTATTTAAATATAATTTTGCATTATAAATCTATTTCTAGACTGTGTTATTTATGCCTCTGTTCACAAACATCATTTTAATACATTACAGAGTAAACTTAGGAAAGAATATGTGTGTGAAATATCATTTAATTAGTGGCATTTATATATAAGATATTTGCTGTGAAATTCAAAGGCTTGTCATATTCCTCTTCTTTGTCATTTTTTCTCAAGAATTTAGCAGAGGAAAATGTGAATAACCTGCTATTCTGTTAGCAGTATTTTAAAATAAATGATTATATGTTTGTGTGTATAAAAGTATACATCTATTAATTTGTATTCTGGCCACCATCCTCACTGTAGTACCTCTAGTTTCTAATTTCACTGGATAAGATAATGGAATAAAACTATGGTGAGCTTAATGCCACTCATATATATATATATATATATATGTAAATCTACAGCCCATTTCATAGAATAACAATATTGTTAGACATGTTTCTGTATTTTATCGAAGAATTACCTCAAGTTTGAACAGAGCCAGTTCATTAGAAACTCTTTCCAATGACTTTTTTCTCAGTAAAAATGCTCATTAATTTTTAGAAAAAAATTCATAAATGAGAGAGAGCCCCTTTCTCCCACTGTCTATTCTACTAACAAACACAAATATAAAAGATTTGGTCTCATAATATTAAGAGGAAAATTGCTATGATCATCAGTGTGATATGCCAGACATCTCTTGTTCTTCTCCCAGGTACAAAGTCAGATAATGTCTTCCCACACTCTGAAAACTTCAGTGGCCATGAGATTGAGTTGTCAACAATGTAAGAATAAAAGAGAATTATATTTTAATACTTGAAGATTGAGTCTTTATGAATGGATGAACAATGTAGTACTACTCTCTGGCTTTTCCCTTCTGACATTGAAACCAACAGGTGCTCATATTTTATCTTATATCTCATTCTGAGTACCAGAGAAATAAAATCATGGCTCTCATGGATATGCAGCATGAGCAAGAAAAAAAGCTTACAGTGTGAAGTCACTGAGAATTTTGAAGTTGTTCATTACAGTAGAATTACTTATCCTACTCCAGCTGAAAAAAAAAATAATTTGAATATTCTCTAATCTCACTTCTTCATGTATCAACATGTTTCCTTATATAATCAGTTCAGTCGCTCAGTCGTGTCTGACTCTTTGAGATCCCATAGACTGCATGCCAGGGGTCCCTTTCCATCATGAACTCCTAGAGTTTACTCAAATTCATGTCCATTGAGTCGCTGATGCCATCCAACCTTCTCATCCTCTGTCTTCCCCTTTTCCTCCAGCCTTCAGTCTTTCCCAGCATCAGGACATTTTCAAATGAGTCAGTTCTTCACATCAGGTGGACAAAGTATTGGAGTTTCAGCTTCAGCATCATTTCTTTCAATGAATATTCAGGACTGATTTCCTTTAGGATGGACTGGTTGGATCTCCTTGCTGTCCAAGGGGCTCTCAAGAGCCTTCTCCAACACCACAGTTCAAAACCATCAATTCTTCAGTGCTCAGTTTTCTTTATAGCTCAACTTTCACATCCGTACATGACTGCTGGAGAAAACCAAAGCTTTGATTATTTGGACTTTTGTTGGCAAAAGTCTGGTTTTTAATAAGCTATCTAGGTTGGTCATAACTTTTCTT